ACCCCCCCATCCAGTGCTCCACACCACGCACATCTGCTGAGCGCCCTCCTTTCTGCACACTACAGGGACCCACAAGCACCCCCCAGCCCAGAGGGGGTACCAAGAGAGTTCCCTGGGCTCACCTTCACGTAGCAGTAGTAGTGCCCCGCATGGCAGCTGTAACCAGAGTGCACCAGCACTGCGTAGAGCCCATACATGACGGGATCCCCCTTGCTCCGAGACATGTACGGGCGGATGTTCAAAAACTCTGGGTACCCCACGTCCTGCGGAGAGAGGATGTCTCAGGAGCCTGCACAGCAGACAGCTTTCTTGCGAGAGCAAGAGCAGTTCAGCTGTCCTACGGGTCCAAACTCTCGAGGGAGAGGGACCCGCTCTCCCCAGACAGAGGTCACAGTGAGGAAGATGCCAGAATGAGCCAAACTCCCATTGCACCACACAGCTGGGGAAGGGCTGCAGGACCGCAGCAGAGCTCACACTGCACACAGGACCACCTCCCACCCTCCTCTGGGCAGCAGGGCCTCGGGCCAGCAGACAGCCCCAGCTCTGGATTGCCAAGCACTCACCTTTGTGATTTTGCCTCCATCAAAGTTGGCAAAACGCTTCAGTGAGATGGTAAGAACATTGGAGGCTCGGTGGATGGTGAAGCGTTTGCTGGCTGACACCTTCTTCTGGCACCTGCACAGGAAGAGCTCGAGCTATTCAAGCTGTTCCACCACCCAGATGATTGCCAGCCCTGGCCAAGCAGCAAACCCCACAGAAATAACCCTGCTGACACCAGGCACCGCTCCAGGGCACCTACTCATGGCCATGTCTGCTGGCCCAGGTCCTCCTCACAAGAGGAGGGAGCTGAGAAGTGGCAGGCTTCCTCGCAGGTTTCCATGGCCACGTACCTCACCGTTTCGCCGTGGAGCAGGTAGAGAAGCCCTCCCATATTGCAGCAGGCTTTCCACCTGCTTCCCACCAGCACACCCGCGGGCCCCTTCCCACCCGCAGACCCACACACTCACTTAGCACACATGTAGGCGTTCTCCCCGCCCAGGAGATCTGGCTTCACAAACATCTCCAGAGCCCGCACTACGTTTGTGGCTTGCTGCAAGGACAGAGGAGAGGTCAGGGCATGAGTGGCCTGTCCACGCGACAGCCCAGCTCCCTGCCGAGATGCTGGCCCCGAGAGGTAACACAAAGCATGAGCACAGGGCCACAGACTACACTGAACTCATGAGCCTGCCACCAGCTAGGCACTGGCCAGCATGCTGTGAGGGATGGCTGCACTGCCCCCCAACACCACGGAGCCTCAACAGAGGAGTCGTGGCTCATGCTCAGGCAATGGGCACTGCTCTGCCAGACAGAGAAGGCAGTGCAACAACGGAAGCTGCTTCCCTCTTGCCTGCACCGTGCCTTGACACTGGCAGGTTAAGGAGCTTTGAGAGCAGTAATGGTGCAGATGCAGGAACCGTGAGAGCAGAGCTCCTCCCCAGCCCTGACCCTGCCACAGTACCCTGATCTCCAGTGCCAGGTCCAAGCAAGGGTCATAGGTGTCCGAGACGCTCTTGCACACCAAGCACTTCACTGCAAAAGAAAGAGTCATGAGCACACCCTGGCACGGCACCTGCACCCTCCACCACCCCAGCACAGCGCAGGCGGCTGCAGTGTTCCCCCTCTCTGGGTTTGGGCTCTGTGATGTCAGCACCAGGATTCACAGCCTGACAAGGAGGAAGGCTGGCAATTCCACTATGTGCTGGGACACCAAGCGTTGCTAGGTAGCTGGCAACACGGGTTCCTTTGCTGGTGACAATGAGCTGGGGACCCACAGCCAACAGCTTTTTTCCATCACAACAGGGGTCACGACCCACAGGTACTGCAAGACTGACCAACTGCAGCTCTGAATGATTTACATATGTTCAGCAATTTTCCCAAAAGATTTTTACTGCAAGGCTCTCAGGGAAACAGCAGCCTTGAGAGTCACAGGCCCAGGACCTGGCAACCAGCACTCACCACGGGACCGCAGGTAACCGCCAAAGATCTGGTGGACCAGTGTCGTGGCCTGGGTCTGGCGATCCAACCTAGAGACAGCAGCACTGGATCTCACACCGCCCCTCCGCAACAGCCACCCCCGCGGGCCACCGCTGTGTCGTCAGGACAGCTCCCCTACGTGCTCCGGCCAGCAGACAGGCCGCAGAGCTCCGGGAGCAGAGGGAAGTCACAGCCCCTGCCAGTCTGCTCTCCCAGTGCTGGAGCTTAAGGGGTGGCACCAGGCCCTGATGCGCACCTTCCTCTAGAAGGAGCAGAAACTCCTGGCTGGAGCTCAGAGCTGGGCACTGCAGGCAGAGGCAATGCAGGCTTCCTGGGACGGAGGGCCCAGGGGAAAGCTGCTCACCCACAGCCACAGAGCTGGGGCTGAACTAGCAACCACACCTGGATTCCTTGGCAACTGGGACAAGATCCAAACCCATAGCAGCTTCAGGATTTGGGGACAGGACCACAGCTATGCTGGGGCAGAGGTGTCAGGAAAAGGCAGACAACAGCCCAGAGCTGTGTCACAGAGGGGCAGAGTTGGGCTATCCACCCGAGGCCCCTGGAGTCAGTACCTCCCTCTGTGAGTCCGACCTGGGGGACAAGTTCACCCCACAGTCCCCTCCCGTGGGCGCAGGGGACCGGTGAGGTGGCAGCAAAGAAGAGCAGCAATGGGCCATCAGAGGCCTCACATACTTGGTGCAGTCGTTCAGGCAGGCCTTCTGCATGGCGTCGATGGTATAGCGCAGGAACTCGTGTGCATCCTCCTGGCTGCCAAAGCGGATGTGCTGAGCGATCTCTGCAGGAGAGGGAGGAATCAGCCCCAGCACATGCTACAATAGATGCAGGCCCTCCCTCCCTCGGGGCAAGTACTCTGGGGTTTGAGCCCCCTCAACCCAAACCAGACGTCAGACTCATGCCGGCCACGGGGGAAGCCCTGCACAGCCCATGAAGTCACCAGCCCCCAGCAGGCTCAGTGAGTCATCTCAGAAGAGCCGTCTGCCAAGACCTGCCCCGATCTCAAAGGTTCTGCTCCTGCATTAGTCACTGCTCTCCTGCACGGCTACGAGAGGGCAGCCATCCTTACTCTTGAGGTCTCGGATGAAGGACACTGGCTTTATCACGTTGCCGCTGTTGACAAAAGCCTGGATCGTGTGGTTCTGCATCACACACATCATACAAAAGCCTCCTTGGTGACCTGGAGCAAGAGAGGAGAAGACAGGACGCTGGGGACAAATCCAGAAGAGATGGAGGTAGTGCAAGGGACAGGGGATTTCTGGTCAAATACAGCTCAGCCACGGTCAGTTTTCCCTACGAGCTGTGCACTATGGTACAGCTCTGGGGCAGCCCAGGTACACAGGGACCAGCAAACACCACCCCGGCTGGCGCAGCCCAAGTCAAAGCACCCCCCCCCCCCCCGACGAGACAGCATCCACGTGGATGGAAAACAGGTCACAGGTACTCGCTGGAGGAGCCCACGGGTCAGCCCTGAGGGGTAGATCCCACCAGAGCCCTACAGACGGGGCTGCAAGCGCCGCGTGCTCCCCTTGGTCACAGCTAGGAACAGTGCCCACCGGACTCCCTTTCAAAGCCACCCATAAACAGCACCTGCTGCCTGTACACAGCCTTCTGCCCTGCCTTCACACAGTCCCCACAGGCAGGGGCTGTTTGGAACCCCCAGCTCAGCCCCCAGGAAGCCAGCAGACTCCGTTGGACCCATCTTAGTCCCGGCTACACCCAGCAGAGACAAAGCCTCCGTAGAAACAAGGATGCAGAGCTCGGGAACACTGCTATGGCCAGGAAAAGCGAGCCATATGCAGGAATCACCTCTCGACGGAGAAACAGGCAGGAGGGAGCAGAGAAGGTACATCCCGACACCCGCACACCCCTTGACAGAGCCACGTGCAGAGGTGCTGAGCACAGCACCGAGAGCAGTACAGGCAGGCACTCCATCTCCCCACCGGCGTGGCTTCCCTGGCCCTGCCGCCCACCGAGCCGGGCCTCCACACTCACAGGTACGGCCGTGCTCCTTGGAGAGCAGGTAGTTGGCAAGCGGCGGTGTGTAAGTCAGGCACTGCACTACGGAGTTAAGGAAGCAGGTGTTCCCGAGATTGTGCAGCCCGGCGCCAATCCGGTAGACCCGCTCCCACTTCATAGAGAGGCGCTCCACGGGGAAGAGTACCTTCTGGGGGGCGGGGATCCCGTCCCCCAGGCCCCCCGGGGCATGGCCGCTGCCTGCGGGGAGAAGGGACGGTGAGCCGCGGGGATGTGGAGC